ACTATGCTTACTTCCTAGTGGGTCATCCATCTTGTAAGTCAAGTACTCTTAACCACAGAGTTCTTTGGTTATCTGATTGCCATATCCTTTTTTAAAAATAATTGGTGATAAGAAGGCGGACATTAAGCATTTAACCACATCCCTCCATGGTAAGTCACAGTGTTAGATCTCGAATCGAGTAGTGGTTGAACTTGGCCGATGCCTAACAATATTCATAAATCTAAATTACCAATATAATTGGTGTGTTTATGGGGAAACAAAAAAATCGAGCGAAGATCTCAATAACGGGGTTCTCTGGAAAAAAAAAAACATTAAAAAAAAAAAAGCAAAACAAAACAAAAGTAAAAAATCTATAAAAAATCAACTGTGGTCGCGCTTCGGCCATCAGTCGAGCCCGAGGCCAAATCTCGTCTCATATCCAACAGAGGACAGACCTCGGTCGGCCCATTGGAAACCTGATCGAGACCTGACCTCGATTGATAAAAAAAATAAAAAAATAAAAAAATAAAAAAAAAAAAAAAGAGAAAATTGAAGACTTACTAAGAAGCAGAAGTCTTGGGATTGGTAGAAGGACCAATCATTAAAATTAATGCTCATTAGAATTTTAAAGGGAAGACGATACAAAAAGGAAGGAAATATTTTGATAATAAAATAAAAAAATCCTTAGATTCCAAAAATAATTTAGAAATATACTGCTATTATTACTCCCTAGCCGACTTACTCCCTAGAGAGCTGACTCGGAAGATAAGTGTAACGGAAGTATGATATTATTACAAAGCACCGCCTCATTAAAGGTGCAAAGTTATGAAGGGATGTGGACACTTAATGAGGAAAGCACATAGTTATTAGGGCCGTAGTAGTTATTACAAGCTTTGTTACATTGAGGATAGGAGTTGTTGTACTCATCTAGTATAAATATTAAACTCAAATACAGGCAGGGACACACTCAATATTGTACTCGGAACTCTGCAATACAAACTACTTCTTCTATAATCGTTCCGGTAGCTTCTATACCATCAATAAAGCTATGAGAAATTCTCTAAGTGCTTATAGTGTAGAAGAAGTAAGATAGAGAAAGCTTTATTCATTTAGGAAGAATCTGGAAACTTGTATTTACAGAGCTTGAATTACAATATGAGAGCTAACTCTCTTGATGCAAACTAACTCTCACTCTCTCCCTTTCTCTCTAAAATGAACTCACTTAGAAACTAATTCACTTACTAGAAAACAAGGGCTATATATAGCTGAGTTGAATCACAATAGAATCATCTAGAAAACCTTTCTAACGAACTCTTATATTAGCCCAACTCCCACTAACAAACTAACTGAGCTTCATACACGACTTCAAACATAACAAACAATGCTTGACACTACTTGGACTTTTATTTGTACTTGAGTACTACTATTTATCCTCAAATACCCTCCCTTAAGTTGGAGAGTATAGATTTTGTAATCTTAACTTAGAGATAAAATTGTCATACTGTGGCATGAGAACTACTCTGGATCTTATTTCCTTAAATGTATCAATTGAGTGTTTCCTTTGGTAAAGATTGAGATTGACTAAAGAAAGTAAATATTGAAGCTGACTATGGATTGAGACTGTCATGCAATCCAAAAAATGCTTTAATTCCTGAATAAAACTCACAACGTTGTTGGTGACGTTATCAACCATCTCAAGTAAACTACAAGCTAGTTTGCTAATCAAATGTGTCACAAGAGCATTTTTTCCATTTGACATATGAACAAAAATTCTTTACACATTGTTGCAATCATCAAAATAGTTCAAAACATAGACTATATGATGTGTGGCTTCAACATCTAGTATCCAAATAGTTGAGGAAATAACACTCATACTAGTAGTAGATGAAATAAGACCACTTTTTTCCAACTTGCAGTTGTAACACATAAATTAACTTCTAAATTTGTTCATTAGATAGGCAAATATCAATTCCCACCTATCTAGTATTAACAAAATTCTGATTAGCACTACCTATGACTGTAGCAGATACTCTAGTATGTGTTTGTTTGCCTTTAGACTTATGTCTTGGCATCCAATCTGGTGGATCGCCATGTTTCCTATAAACTTCTCAATTGTATGTGTAGACATTCCATAGAAGGTACACTTAGTAACAAACTTATTTTTACTGTTAAAGGTGAATCTCATCTTGTTATTGAAATTGCTTGCAATACTATTGTTTATTGTAGCTATAATGTACTCACTCTTTGTATGAACTAGGCTATAAACTTCATCTTGAAGATCAAAAGTTTATGTGAATGCACACTTTGTGCAATTGAAGAGCTAAGAAACTTGAGAAGCCGAAAACTCACCAAACATTTCATTTCTCCCATGATGTGTGTTGAGGATGACTTGTAACATGAATCAATGTTATTTTATCAATGATTTTCCATGTGTTCCTCACCTTGAATACTGCTTTCATGGATCCACTCCATGTACTGTTATTCATCTTCATGGATTTACTCTGTGTACTGTTGTTCATCTTCATGGATATGTTCCATTTACTATTGTTCATCTTCATAGATCTATTTCATAAACTACAATTGAAAACTATTTCAGGATGATTAGCGAGTACTATGCTCATCGTCGTCGACTTTAAACAATGGCCACAAGGTTTCATATCGGTGGCTCTGATACCATTTTAAAATTATAGAGATCATAAAGCTATGAGAAATGCTAAGTGTATATGGTGTAAAAGAAGAATGACAAAGAAAGTTTTATCTATAGAGGAAGAATCTAAAAACTTGCATTTACAGTGGAAGGACTTCAATGTAAATGCTTGAATTACAATATGAAAGCTAACTCTCTTGATACAAACTATCTCTCTCCCTCTATGTGTGTAAAACTAACGCACTTACTTGGAAACTAATTCACTTACTAGAAAACAATGAAACATGGGCTATATATAGATGAATTGAATCACAATAGTATCACCTAGAAAATGTTTCTAACAACTCCTATGTCAACTCAAGTCCCACTTACAAACGACTTCGAATATAACACAAAGTGTTTGACACTGCTTGAACTTTTATTAATACTGGAATACTGTTCCTTATCATCCAATACAAATTAAAGAAAAATCCACAATCCCTTGAATCATCTATCCACTACATTGATCTAAAAATATCAAGTTGACCCAAAATAGAAAATATCTACAAAGAAACTCAAACTATGTTCCGAAGCTTCTATTTCTTTCCAAAATGCATGTTGATTTAAAGCATGCATATTTACTAAACATTTCAATTACTTTGGCATATATTAAATATTGAACATTTCATAAATTTTCCACATTTTCTTGATAAATAAATTCCAGAAGTGACATGATTTCGCCAAAGTGTCAACATTAGAAAGTGTCATAAAGTCAACATTAGAATTATGTCTATCGACAAATACATAAAGCACTTTTTACAGAGACTTTTGTACTTGAATAAAAGCTTTGAACTTGGAAATGTTAGCATAGTACGAGAAGAAGCTTTTAAAAGGCATGTTACTCATGTTGACATTTCTACTACAAATGAAGACATTCAAATTTGCTTTAATTGAGCATATATCATTGAAACAATGATTATATGTTACTTTTTTTTTTTTTTTTGAGATATATTTCAATTTTGGTCCACTGACTATTGGAGCTCTGTTAATTGCAACACTTGACTTTCAAAAATGTTAATTTAGTACCTTGACTATGCAATTTCTATCAATTTTGGTCACGCCGGTCAAATTACCGACGAATTGTGACCGGACAATCAAAAGTCAAAATTTGAACCTAATTAGAAGGGGTAAAATCGTCTTTTCTTGTTCCTTCCAATTTGGGAAAGTCAATTGTTGACCAAAATTAAACCCCTCCATCTCCTCCGACCATGTGCGGCGACTGCGGCGGTGGCGAAGAAAACATACATCGTACACATGAAACTTCACGAAAAGCCTTCTTCATTCGAAACTCACCGGGATTGGTACACCGCCCATCTCCAATCCTCAGAGGACTCCCTTTTGTACACCTACACCACCGCCTATCACGGCTTCACAGCCGCATTAGGTGTCGGCGAGGTAGAGCGGCTCAGGCGGTCGGAGGCGGTGGTTGGTGTCTATGAGGATTCGGTGTACAGTTTGCACACGACCCGTACGCCTGAATTTCTCGGGCTGGATGTGGAGTTCGGGCTTGGGAAGGGACATGGCTTGCCGGAGGCGGCTGCTCAAGACGTGATCGTGGGGGTTCTGGATATCGGGATGTGGCTGGAGTCGAAGAGCTTCGACAATTCCGGCATGACGGATGTGCTGGCAAGGTGGCGCTGCCGGTGCGAAACCGCCGCAGATTTTGACTCGAAAACCCACTGCAATAAAAAGCTAATCGGCGCTAGTTTTTACACCAGAAGTTCTCGCATGGCGTCGGGTAGAATCCATGCCGGAGAATCCGATTCGCCGCGTGATTAGAGAAAGGAGGGGTTTAATTTGGTCAACAATTGGCTTTCCTAATTTGGAAGGAACAAGAAAAGATGATTTTACCCCTTCTAATTAGGTTCAAATTTTGACTTCAGATTTTTCGGTCACAATTCGCCGGTAATTTGGCCGGCGTGACCAAAATTGATAAAAATTGCATAGTCAAAATACTAAATTAACATTTTTGAAAGTCGAGTGTTGCAATTAACGAAACACCAATAGTCAGTGCACCAAAATTGAAATTTTCTCTTTATTTTATTGAAGAAAAAGTCAAAGTTGCATCATATAAAAGTTTCAAGAATTGTACCAATCGACAAACATTCTCCCAATCATTTGACAATGGTGCCCAACTTTTTTTTTCCATTTCCATCATCTTGAAAGTAAGCATCATACAATTTGTCTTCATCAGCCATCTAGTCAAAGGTTGCCCTATACTTGAGAGTTTTAGACAACATGCGATAAGTAAAATTATATCTAGTATTGCAGTCTAAAATCAAACTCTCTGGTTTGTTTTGCTCTGCACGTATGTGAAATGCTTGAAATCTAGAGTATGATGATCTCACATACTTTACTGCATTACGAACATGGCTCGCCAGAGGCGGCTGCTCAAGACATGATCGTGGGGGTTCTGGATACCGGGGTGTGGCCGGAGTCGAAGAGCTTCGACAATTCTGGCATGACGGATGTGCCGGCGAGGTGGCGCTGCCGGTGTGAATCCGCCGCAGATTTTGACCCAAAAACCCACTGCAATAAAAAGCTAATCGGTGATAGTTTCTTCACAAGAGGTTCTCGCATGGCGTCGGGTAGAATCCTTGCCGGAGAGTCCGATTCGCCGCGTGATTAGAGAAAGGAGGGGTTTAATTTGGTCAACAATTGGCTTTCCCAATTTGGAAGGAACAAGAAAAGATGATTTTACCCCTTCTAATTAGGTTCAAATTTTGACTTTAGATTTTCCGGTCACAATTCGCCGGTAATTTGGCCGGCGTGACCAAAATTGATAAAAATTGCATAGTCAAGATACTAAATTAACATTTTTTAAAGTCGAGTGTTGCAATTAACGAAATTCCAATAGTCAGTGCACCAAAATTGAAATTTTATCTTTATTTTTTTGAAGAAAAAGTCAAAGTTGCATCATAGAAAAGTTTCAAGAATTGTACCAATCGACAAACATTCTCCCAATCATTTGACAATGGTGCCCAACTTTTTTTTTTTTTTCCATTTCCATCATCTTGAAAGTAGGCATCATACAATTTATCTTCATCAGCCATCTAGTCAAAGGTTACCCTATACTTGAGAGTTTTAGACAACATGAGATAAGTAAAATTCTATCTAGTATTGCAGTCTAAATCAAACTCTCTGGTTTATCTTGCTCTGCACGTATGTGAAATGCTTGAAATCTAGAGTATGATGATCTCACATACTTTACTGCATTACGAACATGGCTCGCCAGAGGCAGCTGCTCAAGACATGATCGTGGGGGTTCTGGATACCGGGGTGTGGCTGGAGTCGAAGAGCTTCGACAATTCTGGCATGACGGATGTGCCGGCGAGGTGGCGCTGCCGGTGCAAATCCGCCGCAGATTTTGACCCGAAAACCCACTACAATAAAAAGCTAATCGGCGCTAGTTTCTACACCAGAGGTTCTCGCATGGCGTCGGGTAGAATCCTTGCCGGAGAGTCCGATTCGCCGCGTGATTAGAGAAATGAGGGGTTTAATTTGGTCAACAATTGGCTTTCCCAATTTGGAAGAAACAAGAAAAGATGATTTTACCCCTTCTAATTAGGTTCAAATTTTGACTTCAGATTTTTCGGTCACAATTCGCCGGTAATTTGGCCGCCGTGACCAAAATTGATAAAAATTGCATAGTCAAGATACAAAATTAACATTTTTGAAAGTCGAGTGTTGCAATTAACGAAACACAAATAGTCAGTGCACCAAAATTGAAATTTTCTCTTTATTTTTTTGAAGAAAAAGTCAAAGTTGCATCATATAAAAGTTTCAAGAATTGTACCAATCGACAAACATTCTCCCTATCATTTGACAATGGTGCCCAACTTTTTTTTTTTTCCATTTCCATCATCTTGAAAGTAGGCATCATACAATTTGTCTTCATCAGCCATCTAGTCAAAGGTTGCCCTATACTTGAGAGTTTTAGACAACATGAGATAAGTAAAATTCTATCTAGTATTGCAGTCTAAAATCAAACTCTCTGGTTTATCTTGCTCTGCACGTATGTGAAATGCTTGAAATCTAGAGTATAATGATCTCACATACTTTACTGCATTACGAACATGGCTCGCTAGAGGCGGCTGCTCAAGACATGATCGTGGGGGTTCTGGATACCGGGGTTTGGCCGGAGTCGAAGAGCTTCGACAATTCTGGCATGACGGATGTGCCGGCGAGGTGGCGCTGCCGGTGTGAATCCGCCGCAGATTTTGACCCAAAAACCCACTGCAATAAAAAGCTAATCGGTGATAGTTTCTACACCAGAGGTTCTCGCATGGCGTCGGGTAGAATCCATGCCGGAGAGTCCGATTCGCCGCGTGATTAGAGAAAAGAGGGGTTTAATTTGGTCAACAATTGGCTTTCCCAATTTGGAAGGAACAAGAAAAGATGATTTTACCCCTTCTAATTAGGTTCAAATTTTGACTTTAGATTTTTCGGTCACAATTCGCCGGTAATTTGGCCGGCGTGACCAAAATTGATAAAAATTGCATAGTCAAGATACTAAATTAACATTTTTGAAAGTCGAGTGTTGCAATTAACGAAACTCCAATAGTCAGTGCACCAAAATTGAAATTCTATCTTTATTTTTTTGAAGAAAAAGTCATAGTTGCATCATAGAAAAGTTTCAAGAATTGTACCAATCGACAAACATTCTCCCAATCATTTGACAATGGTGCCCAACTTTTTTTTTTTCCATTTCCATCATCTTGAAAGTAGGCATCATACAATTTGTCTTCATCAGCCATCTAGTCAAAGGTTACCCTATACTTGAGAGTTTTAGACAACATGAGATAAGTAAAATTCTATCTAGTATTGCAGTCTAAAATCAAACTCTCTGGTTTATCTTGCTCTGCACGTATGTGAAATGCTTGAAATCTAGAGTATGATGATCTCACATACTTTACTGCATTACGAACATGGCTCGCCAGAGGCAGCTGCTCAAGACATGATCGTGGGGGTTCTGGATACCGGGGTGTGGCTGGAGTCGAAGAGCTTCGACAATTCTGGCGTGACGGATGTGCCGGCGAGGTGGCGCTGCCGGTGCGAATCCGCCGCAGATTTTGACCCGAAAACCCACTACAATAAAAAGCTAATCGGCGCTAGTTTCTACACCAGAGGTTCTCGCATGGCGTCGGGTAGAATCCTTGCCGGAGAGTCCGATTCGCCGCGTGATTAGAGAAAGGAGGGGTTTAATTTGGTCAACAATTGGCTTTCCCAATTTGGAAGGAACAAGAAAAGATGATTTTACCCCTTCTAATTAGGTTCAAATTTTGACTTCAGATTTTTCGGTCACAATTCGCCGGTAATTTGGCCGCTGTGACCAAAATTGATAAAAATTGCATAGTCAAGATACAAAATTAACATTTTTGAAAGTCGAGTGTTGCAATTAACGAAACACCAATAGTCAGTGCACCAAAATTGAAATTTTCTCTTTATTTTTTTGAAGAAAAAGTCAAAGTTGCATCATAGAAAAGTTTCAAGAATTGTACCAATCGACAAACATTCTCCCAATCATTTGACAATGGTGCCCAACTTTTTTTTTTTCCATTTCCATCATCTTGAAAGTAAGCATCATACAATTTGTCTTCATCAGCCATCTAGTCAAAGGTTGCCCTATACTTGAGAGTTTTAGACAACATGAGATAAGTAAAATTCTATCTAGTATTGCAGTCTAAAATCAAACTCTCTGGTTTATCTTGCTCTACACGTATGTGAAATGCTTGAAATCTAGAGTATAATGATCTCACATACTTCACTGCATTACGAACACTAACCAAACTACTACCCACCATTACCAGAACACTTTTACAATCAAATTCAAAATATGTGCACAATAAAGCACATGCATAAACTCTCCATCCAATATTAATGATTCATCTCTCTAACACGTTAATTTATTTTTCAAGATCCTAATTGCACTATTATTGGCAGATGCATTATCAACTGTGATAGCAAACACTTTTTTTTATCCCAATCAATCAAACAATTCTCAAGTTAGTTTGCAATCGTCACACCTTTATGATAAAAAAAAAAGGTTGGCTTAAAACTGATAGTTTTTTTTATGCAACTGCTAGTTCATATCAATATAATGAGCAGTGATAACCGTATAACTAATAGTAGTAGTACTTGCAGCAGTATATTAGTAGTAAAAGACACTCTTTACTCACTAATCATGTTCTTCAATAAAGCTTTTCCTTTCATGTACATTTCAACTACATCTCTTGTGACTGTTCTTCTTGAATGGATAATATATTTTAGAGTTAATTTCCATATGGTCATCCGATTATGGCTTTCTGAAATTGGTTCTATGACATTCAATTGCACCCAAACTGGTCCTTCGACTATTAAAATTTAAGCTATATTGGTAATCTGTTAGCATTGGCATTAAAATGGAGGGCAAAACGGGAAATTAAGCTCGTCTACCCCATTTAATTAGCTTGCGACTCCATTTTCGCAGATTGTGAAGCTTTTCTGTAAAAACTAGTCTTCCTCTCCTCAAAATAAAATGCTTCCTGATATCCCACTCTATGATATCCACGCCCGACGACGAGGTCGAATACGATAATGCATTCCCCGGGAATGCATGGTTCACCGCCCCCGGCGGAATCAGCACACACACCGGCCTTAACTTTGCTGGAAATGAAGAAAGAGGGTTTACATGACCAGAAGTAGTGTTTTGCCTTGATGAAATATTAAACTAAGGTAGCGACACTGGGACCGAACGCGGAGGATTCCAATCGGCGTCGTGACGACCATTGGCGAGAGAACAGTAGATGCCACCAGTGGCAGCTATGAAGGATTGGATGAGGTGTGCAAATGCTTGAGTTAATTGAAGAAGCAAGCCTTGCCATCTGATTTCGCGGCGCGACCTTCTTTGGTCCTTTTGTGATATTTAAACATGCTCTTAAACTTCTCTTCGCATTTCTTGGAGCTCTAATGGTATCCAAGCTTTGTCATTTTCCATAAATAAACATTAATCAAACACTTATCTCTTTGAATTCCATCAACCTTTTATTTTTCATTCAAATTAAACCTCCACATGAAAACAACACCTATATCAGACCTAATTTTGAGCAAAGCTAAAGCTTCTTGCCTCAACCACCAATTTTTGCCAGAATTCCTTTCGCTTTCCTCGTCAAATCCACCGGGGCAAGGCCCCCGCTCCACTTCTGCCATTGCAGATTGGGGAGAAAAACATAATTTTTAGGAAGAAGCTACGCAATCTGTAAAAATGGAGTCACGATTTGATTAAAATGGAGTGGAAGAGCTAAATTTCCTGTTTTGCCCTCCATTTAATGCCAACTTGATGCCAATGCTAACAGAGGACCAATATGTCTTAAATTTTAATAGCCGGATGACCATTTTGGGTGCATTTAAAAGTCATGGAACCAATTTCAGAAAAAGGCTATAGTCGGAGGATCATTTTGGAAATTAACTCTATATTTTGGACAAACAACACTTCAGAAATGTTTAAACCCCGATACATCCACAAAAGAAAAAAGTAATTCATCCAAAATAATCTTCTTAATAGTTCCCTTTCTACAAGCATCTTTATTAAACCATATCGCCACAAGATTACTACTACCACAATTTACAACACTTGCACTTTCATCTAGGGTTAGAGTTTTTTGAGTTTCACTCTCAAGATGGTTCTTAAATGCAGTAATCTTTGGTTATGGGCTTTCAAACCATTAGTGTCATTGGGTGTTGGACACTTAAATTCTTTACCACAATAATTATATGTAAACTTATCCTTGTTGTCCTCTAACCTTGTAAAGTGAGCCCATATCTCAGACCTTGGAGCAATTAGTTTTGGTGGAATTGTACTACTTGAGCATTTCATCTTTTGCTCAACCGACTCTTCAGTTGGCTCACTTGTAGACGTTGTAGTGTTTCGTTGGCAAGATGAAGAATTATCCATATGTATAGCCAATATATGCAGAACAAGAATCAGTAAAATCAAAAAAAAAAAAAAAATCAACTATTCAACAATTGATAAATTGAACTTTCAAATTCAATCAACAAGTCCAATGAGCCCGGTTAATCAACAAGCCGCATAAAAGTCAAATCAACATTCACAAACATCCCTTATATAACTAAGGTTCAACAAGAAGATGGAAACTTCACCAATTAAACAAATTATGAACGTTAAGGTTTAATAAGAAGTGAAGAAAATGGAATCAGGCAAGTGTCGAAGATTGGATGAAATTTTCAATCTTCGACTTTTGGCCTTTAAGGTAGGAATTTCCATCATTGAAGGTCGGAAATTTCCAGCCTTCAAGACTGGGAATTCGGCCTTCAAGGCTGGAAATTTCATATTATAATAGAAGATTGGAGCAGAAAATTAGAAGAAAACAATGTCACCTACCTTCGCCGACAGGGGAGGTAGAGACAGGAAGCATGGGAGGCAAAGTACGTCGCTCTTGTCGACAAGCTCGGCTCGGTCGCAGGTGAGGGTAGTCACCGTAATTAGGTCCCGATGCTATTGCAATATCGCAGGCCGCGAGGAAGAGGCCAGAGGTGGAAAGTAGGATATATTAGGCGATTAGTAGTGGAGGGATTGGAAGGCGGAAGCTGTGGAGCAGAAAGGCAGAGCAAAAGGGCTAAGTAAATGGTGGATACCCGAAGATGGATTACAAGAGTGGAGTAGATGGCAGATTAGCATAATTAGTCAATTAGGGATTTAAATTTTAAAATTTTAGATTTATTATATATGAAACCAAACGATATTCAGTTCAATTTTAAATCGAATCGTTCACCCCTAATCTCAAATATAACCCCTATTATTACTTGATAATTATTTGTCAATTATTATTGGTCAAATTACAACTACTTTAGTTGCAAACCTCCTCTAATCATTGATGTTTATTCCAATGGGCATAAATCCAGCTAAAAAAACAATCATAATCAAAACATTTTACACTGTTAATTTATAAAATGTATTCATTCATTATTAAAGGAAAAAAAAACACATAATCTCATTAATCACTGATCTAACATTCTAACCGGACTATGGAAAAAGCAGCGTATTGGCAAGCAATAGTTCCTTATCTGGGGAATTGGGACGTCACAAACGACATCCCATCTTATGGCCAGAAAAGAAAAGTAAACAGTGGAAAAGCAGGCAGGCATATCACATATGGGTCTTCATCCAACGCATGAATCTACTTATTACTGCTTCTAATTATAATTATAATTAATTCCCTCAAACAAATTTCATGAATTATTATTATTATTACTGCCATTGCCAAGAAGATAAAAAGAAAATAAACAAAAACAAAAATACTAGAGAAAAGCTTGCTGAGAAGCAAAGAAGAAAGCTTCTTCTCCTTACCAAATGCTCTGCTCTGCTCTCAACTTTCACCTTTCCCTCCTCGCAATCCATCTTTCACGTGCTTCTTGTCTGCGTTGCTGTATACCCCACCCCACCCCACCCCACCCATGAATTTATGTTAATTGTATTCATTTTTGCTAGGGGTTGAGTTGATCTACCGATCTCTACATTCCTTGATCTACTCAAATGCGGGCAGATCCGGGTTTGGGTTTCCACTTCCTAGCTCCGGAATTCTCTGAATTTGAACACTTTTTGGTGGGTTGCGATCTCCCCAGTAGTAGAGTTGAAAAGTTGAAGCCGTTTGTCTTTGCCGGCGGTAAGTCAAAGGGCACTGTTAAATTCTGCTTCTTTGCTTGAAGCTCAAGCCTTTCTCGCGAATTCTGCAGTTGAAAAGTTTGAATTTTGGCTTGAGGGTAGCTAGCTAGCTTGCTTGCTTGCTTGCTTTGTGTAGTGTATGGTTAGGTTAGGGTTCAGAGACCTTCAGGGCGTGAAGTATTAGTTTTTTAATCGAATTGTGATTGATTTGCACTTGAGTTCCACTGTTACTGCTTCGCATTTGGTTACTGTGATTTGGGTTTTATTGGTAACTATATTGGGCATTCTTTGCTATCTTTAGTTGGGAAGTCTCTTAATGGTTAATTGTAAAGGAAATTTTGAGGAGCTTTGCATTATATCAGATTTAGCTGGTGAAGGAGTGGAATAAGGGGTTATATGTTAGTGTTCTGGTTCTGCATATTCTCACTTTGATGTGAATGTGGATTGGATTGGATTATTATGTTCTTTGTCAAGGAAGTTTAGCTGGATCCCAGTTCATGAGGCATCTTAGAGGAATTTTTTGATTACCCGACTTAGAGTACTGAGAAATGCCTCCTTCACCGGCAATGAGACGTTCTCCTGGAAGGGAATTCAAGACAGAAAATCACAAGAGAGGCCGCAGTCTAGAAAGCTCGATCGCTTTCAGGGAGAAGGATGATGACCTTGCTTTGTTCAATGAGGTGCAAAGCCGAGAAAGAGAGAATTTCTTGCTTGACACCAAGGATGACTTTGATGACATATGCTGTAATTCCTGGAATTTCCTCTACTTTTACATTTTATAGACGTAGTACTTAATTCTTTCCCATCAATATGGACTCACGATTTCCCATGTTCGGTGCCTTTTGACAGCAACTAAATTTAGATACTTTTCGGACTATAAGCTTGGGATATCCATTCCTGCTCGCGGAGAGAGCAGTGAGCTGCTTAATGCCGAGGGAGACAAGAATGATTATGACTGGTTGGTCTTTATATCTTTAAATTTCTTACTATTTCTGAACATGCATTAATGGCTGACATTTTGGGATTCTGGCCTTAGCCTTCAGTATATATCCAATTTCATTCTTCTAACTTGGCTAGTAATGATTTGATGTAATAACTTTGGTACTAGGATGTGGAACCATGCATTTTGTTATTCGTTTTAGGAACAAACTTAGAGACTATATGAGCTTCTTCATCCCTGTTTGTTTATTTTGTTTCTATATGAAATGCTATTTAGCTGTTTATCTTACTTGTTTAATAATTGAGCTTCTTGATTGAAAGGTTATTAACTCCACCGGATACTCCTCTTTTTCCTTCCTTGGATGATGAGACACCACAAGCTAATGTTGCACAGAGGGGAAGACCTCGAAGTCAACCCATTTCAATCTCCAGGTCATCTACGGTAAGTGCAGTCTAAGTGGAACATATATATATATATATATATATATATATATATATATATATAACACCCTTAAAATACAAACATGTGGACATATACCGTGCACACACCTAAATGTGGGTGTGCACACATCCATGAACGACAATGCACATCCAATATAGTATGCATGTGTGAATCCACAATATTGGGCCGGCGTGCACACGCCCATGAACGACGGTGCACACAGGCGGGCAACACATAAAATCATAAAAACTAATCACAACCTTAGATACCTAAAATCCAACGATCCAGAAATGTCCACACGTTTGTATTTTAAGCTTTGTTTTTACATGAATGTAATTCTATATATATATATATATATATATATATATATATATATATATATATAGGGTGATGTTCCAATGAGAACTCTTCCTCCCGTGAGAACCTGCGAACTTGTACATAAATACACAGAATCGTCTACATAAATGCACACAATCTACCTTTGAATAGTTTGTGTGCATTCATTTTTTTAGACGATTGTGTGCATTCATGTTGGTTCGCAAGTTCGAGGGGTTCTCATTTGATCATTAATCTTTGTATATATGTGTGTTTACATGAATAAGGAGAACATTTTCCATGTTTTCTGTTGTTTCTCCTTGGCATTCTCATTTGTGGCTTGATATACAGATGGAGAGGAGTTATAGAAGTAGCAGAGGTAGTGCGAGCCCGAATCGCCTAAGCCCTTCTCCTCGGTCTTGCAATAATACAAATCAGACAAGAGGCAGGCCTTCTTCTCCTTCCCATTCAAGTCCACCTCCAAGTTTGCGACATGCTACTCCTACGAGGAGACCATCTCCCTCACCCAATAAACCCTCAACACCTCCTCCGAGGTCTTCTACCCCAACTCCTAGAAGACTGAGCACAGGTTCTAGCGCTACTTCAGCTGCCACCAGGGTGAGGGGTACATCCCCTGTTAAGACAAATAGAGGAAACTCTGCATCACCTAAGATTAGGGCATGGCAATCTAATATTCCAGGATTTTCCTTGGAGGCACCTCCTAACCTTCGTACTTCCTTGGCAGACCGACCAACATCATATGTTAGGGGGTCCTCGCCAGCTTCAAGAAATGGATCCAGGTCAGCCCGAAAGTCAATGTCCCCAGCTAGAAGTGTTAGTTCAACATATAGTCATGAACGGGACCGAGTTAGCTTTTATAGCAAAGGTTCAGTTGCATCATCTGGTGATGATGACACAGAATCTCTACAATCAATTCCCATCACCAGTTCAGACCCTTCAGGTCCGAGAAGCTCTGGGACATTCCAACACAATAAAGCTCAGGGTTTAACCAAGAAGACAACTAGAGTAATATCTTCGAGTTCTGCTCCAAAGAGATCCTTTGACTTGGCACTTCGACAAACGGTATCTTTTTTCTTTTTTTTTTTTGGATTTAGAAAATGAAGAGCATTTGAATTGAACCTTTCAAACATGATGATTACAAATGCTCCTCTCCTCTCTGTTTGTAGGATCAGCGGAAAAGCCCGCATAATATGTTCAGGCCTTTGTTATCAAGTGTACCTAGTTCGACATTCTATTCAGGCAAAGCAAGTGCTGCACACCGTACCCTTGGATCTCGACACTCTTCAGTCACAACCAGCAGTAATGCTAGCTCTGATCAATGTATGAGTATTGCACATGACACTGAAGAAGTTGAGCAAAATCAGGAGGATATGAATAGTGAACGTGTACAGTCATTGTATCATGATGCGGAGGAAGTGTTTACCCTAGATAGTGTTGATGGTAAAGTAGATGGTTCCATTGTAGTTGATTCTGAATTGGTTGTTGCTGAAGATTTCAGACCACTGGAGAAAGAAATGATAGTCGCTGCAACTTCTCAAGTATTGAGTCATGAAACTGTTGTGGCACAAGCTGATGCTCTCGAGCTTCTGGTAATTTGTTCCAAATGCTACAAGAGTTACCCTTGGAGTAAATCAATTGAAGAGGATCCCAAACTCTGTCCAGACTGCAAAAGCTTGGAAGCACAACCGAGTTTGAGTTCCCCGTTAACTAAAATGATGGTCAGCACTGATTCTCCCGGAGTTTCTACAGATATCATAGAATATGGGCCAGTAGATACTTACGAGACATCTCAACTTTCACCCAAATTGTCAGAAGTAACATGCAAGGGTGAATTGAAGGCTGGTCACCTTGAAGAGGTTTATAGTTACTGCGAGAACCTCTGCAATGAGAGCAGCTGGGACTTGACTTCAAATAAGTCCATTGATCAGATGCATGTGGAAGGAGGCGAGCACTCTCTTGCCACACACCAAGTGAATAGTCGCTCGACCATTTGTACATCTGATTGTGACACTGGCTATCAACAACCGCGGCCCCTCACCGACCACCCTAATGCGATTGTTGATGTCCCAGAGGGTGCCGGTATTTCTTTGCTGCTGAAGAGGTCCAGTAGTGGCAAAGGCCATATTGTTCAAAACAGGACACTCAGTGCCACTAGCATTGCTTATGATGATCTATCCTACGTACGTGACAGTGTAAGCAGCATGAGAAGCTCCATTGGACATGGCAGTGCATCTGCCTCATCTTCGGTTGATTTTGGCTCAACTAGACAAATAGAGGCTCGTATTCAGCGGCAGTCCAGTGGGAGAAAGCCAGACGTAGAAACTTACCGGAATGAGATTTATACAAAACTCCAACGCTCCACCTCATCTTTGTCTGCTACTTCAAGTCAAGCACAGCAACCTTTGAGTCTTACAACAAGTTCTCAAGACGAGGCTGAGGTATCTGCTTCCCAAACGGAAAAAAATACTGAGGTTAAAAATGTAGATCCAGAAGAATCATCATTGAACTTATGCACTGAAGATAAGAGTGAAAGTATTTGTAGAATTTCCTCGAATCCAACAAGTCATACAGATGAAGCTTCAGCTGCAAACTTTGAGTGTAGTTTATCTGAGAATGGTGACAACATAACAAACTCAGGTAATTCCTCAGACATTAATCCTGTTTCATCGGATGTTAAGGAAGATGTGCCAAATTCTTGTGTTGTCAATTTGCATGTGACAGAAATTTGCGAGCAGGAGTGTATGGATGCAAAATGTGGAACAGAAATTGAGAAAGATAATTTGCAATCTGATGGCAGTTCAAGGGACAGTGCAGATGAAGTAAAGAAGTGTGCTTTACATACACCAACTGACAATGATATTACAGATCCTGTTGAAGTAGAAGACTCATCCAATCATGAATATGGTACACATCTTTTACACTTTAATCGTCCTACTTGCAATCAATGTTGCAAAAATTGGCCTGGGTGGCCGCCTAGGCACCTATTAGGCTCTAGGCGCCCCTAGGCCGAGGGGATTTTACCCTTAGGCAGACATTAGTCGGCTGCCCGATTAGTCGGCCAACTCGGCGCCAAGTTGGTCAAACTAGGCGCCTGAGTGGGCCAACTCGTCTGAGTGTTTTTTTTTTTTTTTTTTTTTTGGTGCTGTTTTTCTTATTATTATTACTCGGCTGCCTAGCGCCTTCTACAACATTTGGAATCTCAAGTATAGAATGTTCTGAAATTCATACTATGGTGTCATTGCCACCGTACACCTATATTGGAGTCCTTTTTTGTATTAAAAATGAGAAGAACCTTAAAGATTCTGACATTCCTGTTCATGTGTTTTGGGACAGAGGAATCAACTGTGGTGGTTGAGGGACAAGCTGGAGTGAAGACAAGAAGCCTGACATTAGAAGAAGCAACAGATACAATACTGTTTTGCAGCTCGATTGTCCACAATTTGGCATATAAGGCTGCAGATATAGCCATTGGCAAGGAAAATTGTATTTTGATGGATGCTTCCCGACCAATGCTCACTGTTGTCGGCAAAGCTAGTCCAGATAGAAGGGATCTGTGGAGTAGAACCACAGCCAGGCGCAACTCTAGATCTTCTCAAAAAGTTAAACAAAAGTTGATGGATTCTGAATCAAAACCACCGCTTCCAAGCAACACAGACAGCGATGAGAAAACCCAGAAACCAATGGCTCGTATTGTTGGGTCTCCTAGTAAGGGCGACACCATGAAGCCTCCTCCGAAACTGGAATCAAAATGCAACTGCACAATCATGTGAGTCTGCCTTTCCACGTTGTTAATCGAGCTAATTTGCAGGAAAATTGGTGCTGGGCATAATTTGATATGGACGCTATTTGGATATTTTCCTATTGCTTTTTTTGTTGCTTCCAATTGAATTTTAAAGTAACATAATCATTGTAAAGTTTTTAATTCTTGTTAGGCTGATAATAGCAAGGCATTGGAGGTTCTTGAATTGAATGCCCCATTGCCTATATTCTTGTTACATCACTTGTATGTGGCTTGTAGTTTTCCACTAGAGAGCAAGTGTGAATTCTTTAATTTTCTTGTTGCACTTTCATGCTATAATGAATTCCTTAGTAGATTTTCTCCTCTTTTCTACACTTGAACAATTTGAAGGAAATGGCAATGGGGTTTTTGGGGAGGGTTAATTTTGTCCAATTCAAATTATATTCTATTCCATAGGCAAGCAAGGCAGCAAGCAGAGCAGCAAATCCGAGGGGCATATGAAATTTGAATTTTCCCTTCAATACATATTGATTAAGATTTCATATATATGTAATTTAATAGGACCACCCACATCTTGGACTGATAGTTTGTGGAAGGTAATTTATATTAGGAAAATACTACTACTTTCAAATTCTATTTTTAATTTTTACTTCATTTTACAAAATTATAATATTGACATTTTTCTTGAGACGGACAGGATAAAAAAAATTAATCATTCATTATTACATCATGGAGTAAAAGTGAGGGAATGAAAATAGGTCTACAGTGAACCGTAAACCCTAGTCCATAATAATTATTATGGCTATTACTATAACTAGAAAAAGTCAATAATATTTTTTTTTTATATAAATAGAATGGCTATTGTTTATAAAGATGCCACCACCATTTTTTTTTATATAGTAATTGATACATTGTAAAATATTCTTGTATAAATTCACTGCACATACAACTATTGGCAGCTATTTGCTCGCATGAGTTGGTTAACTGGTTATAGAGGTGAAATTTGTTATGGATCGAGTCTCACCGATAGTAATATGAATTATGTACCTGAAACAAATTAGTAATTGTGTATTATGTTATGAATTTTTTTGGTTTGTGTCGTGAAATTTTGTATCTATGAACACAAATTATGTACCTAAATCAGATTTAAAAAATAAGTAAATATATAACATGTGTATGTGTCTCGTGTTGTGATTTTTTGTGTATTGTGTTATGAAATTTTGAACCTCTTTACCTTTTCTCAAAATTGACACTTTTGATTTATTGTCAAATGCCACCCTACACCAGATAACTTCATTTAGTTCAGAAAACAATTCTTTCTTCCTAAGCATATGATTGCTACACCTAGTATCCAAAAACTAATTTGCCAAAAAAAAAATGTTAATAGCTAAAAGTAAGGTTTAAGATTCAATAGTATTCTCACCAGACTTTTTAGCAATGTTTGCTTGATTTTCACGATCGTTATCGTTATACTGCAATCTTGTGTCCATACTTTCCACAATTGTAGTAATGAAATGGAAACTTATTACTTTGTTTGGTATTACCGGCCACAACCTCTTCCTTAGTTGGAGTTACCACGTCCTCGTCCTCTAGATCTTCTTCATCCTCTTCCACGACCTCTACCAGATCCTCCACCTCTTTGATTAGAACTAGTCATGTTAAGAGTAACTTGGCTCTTCAAAGATTCTTCTGATTTTAGTTTTAATGCAATCCTATCAATATGACTTTCTATCATACATTTTAGCTTTGCAACTGATAAGGGCTTAGTATTGTGTGACTCTATTATCGAAGTCACCACATGGTCATACTTCATTAGCATAGTTTGAAAAGCTTTTTCAACCACTACACTATTATCAATAGTGTCTCCATATAAGTTAATCTTATTCACAAGATTAATAAGACGAGAGAAATACATATCCAATGTCTCTATAGAGGTCATCTCACATCAATCGTACAATCTTCGCAACGATTGTAACTTGAATTTTGTGCCCAATTGACTCTTTTAGATATTCCAAGCATACTTTGATGTCTTGACACCAGCTAATTGCCCAAAAATGGAGTAATCAATAATTCAATACCTCGGTGAATTTTTCCCAAGGCAAGTTGATCTCGGCATATAGCAATCACATATGTCTATATCAACATGTTGATGAGCATTCATTCCAAAGAATGTTCAGTCTTTGTCATTGCCAAAGCCTTCAGTTCGGAGATCTCAACACGAACACCACTTACCACATCGCTTGTAAGATTATGTTTTGGTCACAATGATGACATGTCTGATGAAGAAATTGTTTACTTTACTCTTTTTGTAGATTGTGACCATAATTCTTTTGAGGAAGCTGCAGCAGAAACATATTGGCTTAAAGTATTGGATGAAGAGATTTGTGCTACTAAAGATAATGTTACTTGGGAACTAACAAAATTACCTCCCGAAAAGAAGCCAATTGGAGTAAAGTGGATCTACAGAACGAAATACAAGTCAAATGGTGAGGTTGACCATTTTAAAGCATAGTTGGTAGCATCAGGGCCGGATTTTTGTTTTTTGTGGCCCTGTTCCGGTAATAACTGAGGCCCTCTAAAATCATAATTTTTATAATTGACATATACAAGTTTTGAACCTTTGACCTTCAAGTTGAAATTAAAATACAATAAATACACATTTTAACAACACTTCATGAAACCTTTTAAGAATAATTGAAAACTTATAATTTTTATTTCTAAACTAGCTAGGGGATAGTTATGCTGTGGGCTCGTGCCCAGCGTGCTTCATGGGCACGGATAACGGTGCCGTCAAGCACCGTTATCTTCCCTCTTCTTTTTTTTTTTCTTTTTTTTTTTTAATTTAATTTCAGACCGCTTCGTTATATGAGCATATATTCACAGCTTTGTGTTCATAATTTCATAACTGTACATTCATAATTCCATAACTGTACATTCATAATTCTATAACTGTATATTCATAATTCCGTAACTGTACATTCATAATTCAATAACTGTAAATTCATAATTTTCGAAGCTCTATGTTCATAATTGTAAGTTCATAATGTCAGAGTTCTATGTTCATAATTTCATAACTGTACATTCATAATTTCATAACTGTACATTCATAATTCCATAACTGTACATTCATAATTCCATAACTGTACATTCATAATTCCATAACTGTACATTCATAATTCCATACTGTATATTCATAATTCCATACCGAACATTCATAATTTTCGAAGCTATATGTTCATAATTGTAAGTTCATAATTCCATAACTATACATTCATAATTCTATAACTGTACATTCATAATGTCATAACTGTATATTCATAATTTCATAACGAATATGCCGTTAACGGCGTTTCGAACAAATTTTTTTTTTTTAGTTAAAACAGCGTCGTTTTCACAGAAAACGACGCCGTTTTAGCGCCGTGCGCACCTTGCAAGGTGCGCACGTGCGCATAGCATAATTTGCCCTAGCTAGGTAAAAATTAAATATTGGGCCTCTAAAATTTGGGGTCCCTCTAAAATTCGGGGCCTTGTGCGGTAGCCCAGCTTGCACAGCCTAAAATTCAGTCCTGGGTAGCAAAGGGTTATAAGTAAAATCCAGGTATTGATTATTTTGAGATTTTTTTTTTCTAGTAAGTAGACTTGATACAGTTTGAATGCTTATTTCTCTTGCTGCACAAAATAATTAGAAATTGCATCAAATGAATGTTATGTCCACTTTTTTTAATGTTTTTTTTTTGAAGAAGCGAGATATATATATATATATATATATATATATATATATATATATATATATATATATATAGTGTGTGTGTATGTGTGTTGAGCAACCTATAGAATATGTGAAGAAAGGTGCAGAAAATAAGGTTTAACAAGTATCTAGGGCCTAGTATAGTTGCATTGACTCTTATTTTGTTTACTAGCATTTTGTACGCGCGATGCGCGAAAACTTATGCCCAATATTAAAATATTTGTAAGTAACAAAATTTAAAAATTAGTTAAAATTATGTTTTGCAATTTCTTAAAGTAATGATACTTTTGAATTATCATATATTTGAATAATATAGTGATCAAAACAAAAAAAATAAATTATATTTTTATATAATAATAATTTACAAATAATACTAAGCTAACACTCACATATATGATATATTGATATGGATACACAAATAATATACATACATATATATATATATATATATATATATATATATATATATATATATATATATGATACACATATATAATTTAACATTCATATAAAATATTTAATTAAAATATAATTTATAATTAAATTAATTGTTATATGATAATTTTAATAAAATGATAATTAAAAATAGGAAAAAGATATGATAGATGTAGGTGTATGGTAAAATTGATAGATATATTAAAAACTAACGGGGTGTTATAACGGTGTAAGGGTGATTTTGTCCAATGCAAATGAATGTACAACAATTAAAGCAAAATGTATATATTTATTAGCATATAAAAAAGGGACAAAAATCAAGGACATAACTTGTATTGACACTTATTATGTTTTTAGATAACGATTTTCTGAGATATCCTTATGAGCATATTCTATATGTCAAATGCATTAACTTTTGTGATATTGTTATAATTTATCTTTATGTTGATGATTTGATCTTTACTGCAAATAATTTGCATTAAATATTTCAACTGATCTTAGAAAATAATATTGCGTATATTTAAACGTCAATAGTAGAGGGTTAAATTACAGTACTCTACAGCTCATTAATTGAATACTATATTTTTGCTAATAATCTATCACTCAAGGATCAACTGAGTTGTCCGTATGAGATTGTAACAACCCAAAATTTTTATTTTATAAATCCGATATTAAGAAATTCCAAAATAGTCATTTTCACTCCATTACAATTTTTGCGATCAATTGGTGTTTGAATAAATTATTTTTGTCACATTTCAAGTTAATTCGACACCAAAACTTATTTTATTCGAAATTCTTAATTTTCGGGTACTTCGCGTACCAAGTTTTAAATCGAGAAATTCATCTAAGTGAGACCGGGAGAATTCAAAAAGACTTTAAACAAGGGTTCATCTAAATAGCTTTTTGAGAAAATTCATTTTCAACCCCAAAGTATTTAAAGTTAGCATTTCTAGCCTTGGTTCATGATACAAGGTGAATCACATTCCTCCAAGATGGCATTTGCCTGAGAACATCATCTAGCCAAGCTTTTACCATTTTGCCTTCATCTAATCATTTGCTTTCTACCTAGGGTTTTGGACCCTATATAAACTTCACTATTCCATTGTTGATTTCCTGATCTCTTTCTTTGCCTCTCTAAAATTTTGCCTACCAAGTAGAAAGGGAAAAACAACATAGTAAGTTCATCTTCTTCCCCTTTCAATCCTAGCTTTCATTTTCTCTTCTAGTTTCATCCATCCTCTGAGGTTTTAGGCTAAGGTTGTATGGTTTGTTTGGGAAGTTTAGGTGGTGAAGGAGGTGCCAGCTAAGTTGGGAGGAAGAAGAGATCCAAGCTAGAAGAAGAAACTACAAGAGGTATAACCCCATGGATTCCTTCTTGAATTTGGCTCTGTGAAGCCTTGTTATTGAGTAGAAATGAGTAGAAAATATGAGATTTTGTTGTGTTTATGCTTAGAAGTGATCTAGTATTTGTCTTTGAGTTGTTGAGGATGTTTTGGACTTGTTTGGTTTGAGTTTGCAGATGAAAATGCCATCTGGTGCACACACAGAGTGCACCAGATCAGACCAGCGGCCCTAGCCGCGGCCCATTAGGAGGGCCGCCGGCTAGAGCCGGGGTTACACGGGTCTAGGGCACGGCCTTAGAGGGGGGCCGCCGCCTAGACCCGATGGTGTAACGGGGCACATGGGGCGGCTCTTGAGGAGTCCCGCCCCAGGTCCCTGAGTATTGATCTGAGAAGATTTTGTGCAGTGACCGAGCCCTTGTGGCTCAGCTACGTGTCGTTTCGAGCCAAGTGTTACGGGACCTTGTGGCTCGGCTCTTCGGGGTCGTCTCGACGCACGTTTTGGCTTTGATTTCGTTGAATTTGGATAAAAAAAAAATGAGTATATTATGAAGGATTTTTTGAAGGATTTGCTACACAGTTCATATATTTGTTAGTTCATTGTGTATGAGAAATACTTGACTATGTGATCTGATAATATTTTTGTATTGAGTAGAGAAGCATGATCCTTTGGGAATATGATTTATTATGAAAGCATGACTAGAATGTGATATTTGATCAATGAGATTCGAAGCATAATTTGTTGTTAGAAATGTATAGAATTTGCCATGTTGCAAACCGAGCATGATATTATATTCTTGAGTATTTCATGTTATTTTATACATGGCTTAGGAGCATGTATATAGTATTTTGGCATCTCACATATGTCATATTTCAAAATGCATAAGGGGTCAACGTGAGCCCAAGTATTACTTTCAAAAAGTCATGAGCATGTGGTATATCATTCTTTGCTGCATTGAGGAGTAGTAAAGTTGTTGCATGCATGAGATTGATGCATGAGAGATATATCTATGTATTATCTATATTGGTGAGGTTTTGGAGGATACCGGTTGGACTATGTCCTCTCGGGAGATATTTATGGACATTGCGGTCCCAGTATATGTAACGCGGCGTATTCCCACGTTACGAGGTTGGAAACTTCCCGCCAGGCTTTAGATCCTGGTCAGGGGGGTGTGCACACTAATAGTTCGATACCTGATTCCACAGAGAGAGAACTACGAGATTGGTTCCGTAGACGGTAGGAGATATTGGGTCGGATTTATGCCGCTCCCGATGGGGTAATTCACGCTTCGGTGAAACCCTAAGCTGTCTACGAGTAAAAGAAAGAAAGAGAGTCAAGAGAGACTCAAGAGAAAGAAAGCGAGTCAAAAGAGACTCAAAAGTAAGAAAGAAAGTAAGAAAGAGACCTCCACAGAAAGTACTCTATTTTTATAAAGAGTGTATGAGTATATATATAGTATTGCACGAGATTGCATATGATTATAGAATTGCACATGATTGCATATGTTTATAGTATTGCACGAGATTGCATATGAGTATGATTATAGTATTGCACGAGATTGCATATGAGTATGATTATAGTATTGCACGAGATTGCATATGAGTATGATTATAGTATTGCACGAGATTGCATATGAGTATGATGTATAATATTGCACGAGATTGCATTTGAGTAGAATATCGCATGAGATTACATAATGAGAATGTTGATTTAAGATTGTTCATCGAGCATTATTGTTTTGTTATATTTGAAGTCTTGTATATCAAGTTTATGTGATGAGAATGTGAGAGCATGAGAATACCTGTTATATGGTTTATTAGCATGATTCTACCTGTGAGCATGAGATGCTTGTTAAATTAATTGAGAGGTTTATATGTTGAAGTATCTAAGTGTTCAGTCTTATATATAATCATGCCAGGTGACATTATAGGTTGCAAGCATCTAGAAAGTATGTGATAGATCTAAAAATGATTTGAGATGAGTTTGTTGTTTACTAGAGAAATCAAATGTTTTCAAAGTATATGTTATAATGCTTTACAGGGTTGAGTATGGTTATACTTAGCTTCGTGCTAACAGGTGTTTTCTTATTTGTCTATGTGTTACTTGCAAAAAACCCTTTCAGGTGGGCCCAACAGTGAGAAGAGATCGAGTTAGATTAGTCTCGTAGTTTGAGATGTCTAAACTCTAGTTATGTTGATGACTTTGTTTCCGGATTTAGACTCATGGTTATTATTATGGTTTTGATGATGATGTAGACTTTTAGGGTAACTTTTTCCCCCTTATGTTTTTTCAGTATTTATTATGGAAGTTAGATATTTATTTTATTTCTAGTTCTACCCCTTAGCCTGTGCAATCACCACGGAGTGGTAGTTGTGGCGGTGACATTCCCACTAGTTATCTATTAGTTCTTAATTCCGCTGCTTAGTTTATGTTAATGATGGATTAGAGTTGTGATTAAGAGATAGAAAAGTGGAGGTGCTACAGAGATAGACTATATTTATTTTAATTTAAAACATTAAAGAAACATTTGACAGATATTTTTAAACATTAAAAAAAACTCTAGATAATATTTACATTTTCGAACAATAACTATATTTTAACTAAAATATATTACACAATTCACAATGAAACTTTTGATTCAACATATAAATTCAAAATTCAAAATGATGCCTCTTGCAAAAATAAAGATTACTATTTTAGGAGTTAGGCTGATAGGCTCCTCAAGCTGGAGTAGTGCATGAATTGTCCTCCTTTTTTTGGTCCTACATAGATTAGATTGTTATTCCTTTCGTCCCTAATTGATTATCTAATTTACTTTTTGCATGATTTTTAATATAATATAACAAATATTACTAACTTTTTAATTTTTTCCTTCAAAAGTAGGTGTTATTTATACAAAGTACAATTGTACTTATCTCTAGAAATTTGAAAAGTCAAAAAGGTAAATTGGAAAATGTAAAGTGATAGTTATGTTCAATTTTGAAAAGATGACATTATTTTGGGACAAACTAAAAAGGAAAGTAATACATGTAAAGTGGGATGGAGGGAGTATTATTTAATACTTCCTTTGTTCTATTTAATCCGTCATAATTATTATTCATTAGTCAAATTAACTCTTTTTTCTTAGTTTATTTTCTTTAGTATTATTTAGTTCTTTTTAAATTTGATTTGTTGTGTTTAATACTACTTTTTGTGTAGTTTCTAATTATATAAATTTTGTATACTAATACTAAATTTAATATTATGAAAAATTATATTAAAAATAACTTTCTTAATATAATTTATTATTCATTAGTCAAATCAACTCTTTTTTCTTAGTTTATTTTCTTTAGTATTATTTAGTTCTTTGGAATAATGACCAGGAATCGAGTCTCACCAGCAGCCTCTCAAAGTGAGGGGGGGCTCCTTGTGCGCAGTGAGCACCGGTCTAGCCTCTGTGATTAATGTTCAGTTGAGTCACCATGATTTACAACTTCCCACCGCTCTGTCGGGCCGGGGTGTGGGGGCCCTTAGGGTTGGGGTTCAGCCTTTTGGAATAATATTATGAAAAATTATATTAAAAATAACTTTCTTTTTACCTGAACCATACACATAAAATGAGACAGAAGGAGTAATAATAAGTGTGAAGAACATTGTGTTTGATTGGCACTTTTGTGACTCTAGTTGAGAGATAACAAGGCTATAATTGATTGAGAAAATATATTGAATAGATGCAAATTGTAATAAAGTCAATAGTGCTAAAAATATTAAAATAATAATAATTAATTAATTAAAGATCCCTATTTTTGGAAAAAGAAAAGGAACTCCGGCATTGAAAAGAAAGGAGGAAGAGGATGCGGATTTGAATATAGTTGCAGAACTGAGACGAAAGCGTATGCCGCCATCCTCCAACTTAAACCTTCACGTACAAGCAGTGCTTGAGAAATGCAGCCATCTCCATCACCTCAAGCAGCTTCAAGCTCATCTCATCACCATCGGCCATGGCCACACCCAATTCTACGCCTCCAAGCTCGTGCGCTTTTGCACCCTCTCTCTCTCCAACCTTGCCTATGCTCGCTTCATTTTCGACCACCTCCAATCCCCCAATGTGTTTCTCTACACAGCTATGATCACAGCCTACAATTTGCATTCGGATCACACCTCTGCCTTTCTGTTGTATAGCGAAATGGTCCGGAAAGGCCGTTCCAAGCCCAACGAGTTCATCTTTCCTTTAGCCCTCAAGTCCTGCCTGGAGGTGGTGAAGAACTTTGGAACTCCAATGCTGCATGCCCAGATTGAGAAAACGGGTTTTGGGAAATACCCGGTTGTGCAAACGGCGCTTTTGGATTCCTACTCTAGGTTTTCGGCTGATATTAGGATTGCTAGACAACTGTTCGACGAAATGTCTGAGAGGAACGTGGTGTCCTGGACTGCTATGGTCTCTGGGTTGGCTAGAGTTGGGAAGATGGGAGATGCCATTTTAGTGTTTGAAGAAATGCCTGAGGCACTGAGAGATACTCCATCGTGGAATTCGGTTATCTCAGGGTGCACACAGAATGGCTTGTTTTCGGAAGCACTTTTGTTTTTTAGGAGGTTGGTTTTGGAGGAAAGGATGGGGAATGGGAATGGGAATAGACCCAACCAGACTTCTGTTGTCTGTGCACTTTCAGCATGTGGACACTGTGGAATGCTTCAACTTGGGAAGTGCATTCATGGGTATATGCTTAGGATTGGACTTCGTTTGGATTCGTTCACATTGAATGCTCTGATTGATATGTATGGAAAATGTGGAAGTTTGAAAGAAGCAAGAAGGATTTTCGACACAAGTGCAAAGAGAAGTTTGACATGTTGGAACTCTATAATTAATTCTTTTGCTCTTCATGGCCATTGGAAAGGCGCTATAAGTGTGTTTGCAGAGATGTTGCAGCAACATGGCGATGTAGTAAAGCCCGATGGAGTGACATTTGTTGGGTTACTAAATGCTTGCACACACGGGGGATTAGTCGAAGAAGGGCTTAGTTACTATGATTCAATGACTAGGGAGTACATGATTGAGCCCGAGATTCATCATTATGGTTGCTTGATCGATCTTCTAGGTCGGGCTGGTAGATTCAACGAAATGATGGAAGTTGTTAAGGGGATGAGGGTTCCCCCGGATGAAGTTGTGTGGGGTTCTTTACTTAACGCGTGTAAGATTCATGGGCGTACCGATTTGGCCGAGTTTGCTCTAAAGAAGTTGATTGAGATGGAGCCTAACAATGGTGGTTATTATGCAATGTTGGCTAATTTATGTGGGGGGCTTGAGAAGTGGGATGATGCATTGAGGTTAAGGAAGAGCATAAATGAGCAGAATGCGTATAAGCTGCCGGGTTGCAGTTGGATTGAGATTGACAAACAAGTTAGTCAGTTCTATTCTGTTGATAAATCGCACCCTAAGACTGCACAAATATATTCCATTTTGGAATCTTTAGTCATCTCTACTAGCCTCCTATAATTTGCTTGCTAGCTTCCTTCCAACTATCCATATACACTACAAGGCTTTATTTTATTTTCCAAATCAATTAATTGATTGACGATCCTTCGCACCAATTTATTGAATGTCTGGCTAGCAATCACTTCTCTCTGTCTCGCCCCAACGCTATGATTGTGATGGGTAAATATGTCCTAGGACTACTTGTTGGATCGCTCTGGCCAAGACCACCCGATTAGCTGGTTTCGCCACCAAGATTGGAAAGTCGCAAGGCACAAATGATGGAATTGTCGCCTAGAGGTTGTCGGAGGACAGCCGACTAACTAGACCAACGAGAGCACGCCACGTCAAGCCACTTCTGTTTGGAACATTAAATGCCTTAGCCAACTTACTTAGTATAAATAGAGGGATCCTCCCCTTAATTGGGACATTCATCACTTTGTAACTCAACTCCATTTGTAATCATCTTCTACTCTTGATAGTTGATACTAAACCTTAGTCCTATTGACTGATTAACTAAATATCATTTTACATGTTCACCACCTTTGTATATTCATAACATTGTCTCAACCTCTAATCCAATTTATGCTATCATACTGAACTGTCAAGATTCAATCACAATCTACTCATCAAGCAATGACAATATGGTGACCAAATCAGTAGTGATGCCAATAATTACCAAATTACAAATGAAATCAAAAATTTATATGAAACAATACACAGACTCAAGTTTTCTTTTTTCTATTTCTTCTTTCGTTTTCATATTAAGTAAGAGGACATGAGATTCCAACTAATTTTCATGTGAGATGGCATTGGAGCTACAAACCGAAGGAGATCTGGTTTTGATACAGTATCACTCTTCACATTATAATTCCTTGACCTATTACTATTACTATGAAGCTCAAGAAACTTGGCAATGTTTGGAAGTACAAGCTCCCGGCAATGCAGATGCAGCAAGGGAACCTTTGACAACACGCTTCCTTTCTGAACATCCAACCCTTCTGGCCTTCGCATTCTGTATGGTTCCCCGGTTGTGGGCTCAATATCAACCCGGGGCATCTGCTTCCACTTCTTATGAACGAACCAACCGTACTTGTAATCACCCACAATTGGAGTACCAAGCGCTTCTGCACAGTGCACACGGAGCTGCAAAACAACAGAATTACTATGAAGAGGAAGAGTACATGGTTACACTCTTATGAAAATAAGGAGGATCCCAGAGCGGAGGTAACCCCAGCCAAGATGGCAAGAGATCCACAATTGCCCCCTTGGTTTGAGCCGGTCAGCTATGGGTAACCTAGGCTAATTTACTTGTGGTCCTTTGCCGGCTAGGGTCACAATCCGGGTCTACTTACACCCAAAAGGGTTGTGGGGTTTCCCTCGTCACCCCAGAAGAGGAGGATCCTAGAGCAGTATCACATGTTTCAAACAATGGAACTAGAAAATGATGGGAAAGAGTCTATTGATATGTTTTCTCACACTAGTTAGACATGAAACATGGCTTTCTAATTGTACCGAAAGTAAAGAGAACATTTTTGAATACGCTGTCTTATAGAAAAGAGAATACAAAGCCCTATAAATACATACTAGAAGACTTCGAATAGTAAACAAGTTTCCATATGCCTACCTACCTAAATCCCTAAGACTGCCTAATCTATAGAGATTCCATATATTAAATATATATTCCATAACACTAATTCAGCCCCACTAATATGGTTCAAAACTGCAATTCCCTTGCATTCCTACATTTCAAGCTTGTTTTGCAATTCATTCTAAAAGCCATTATAAACAAACTTGTTACTTTGCCTGACACTTATGAATAACCACACATGTGTCGAGAGAACACACTAGCTGCTTCAGCACACATGGAAGGGTCAGCTTAGTTATTACATACCTCATATATATGTGCATTATACTAACATGGTTTTTTATTCAGAGGAAAATAAAGGGAAGTGCATTGTGATCTTACAAAGAGGAAAACAGATTCATATTACCTGATGCTTTCTGCTTGTATGCGGGCGCAATTCTATCCACGAACATCCATTGATCATAGGACCCAGCACACGATATTCTGTAACAGCATCCTGGGAAGCTTCTAACCTTGAGTTCTGAGCCAAGATAACCCTTTCGGTTTTCCCATTATCAAGAACCACCTGCTAGACAATGACCACAAGCATCAAGGTTTTCATTTTCTTTAGCCAATATCCAATAGTAGGCCAATAGAGAACGATAAACAGAACCTTTGAAAGAGGTGCACAAATTAAGCCTTCCTTTTCTTTGGGGGAACCTATTACTAATGCCCAATATCTCCGATATGTTACCTTACAAGAATCATCCCATGCCTGAAATTCAAAACGTCAAAGTTTTCAGGACATAGCACAGTAACCCACAAATAAACCACTTCCATTTGAAGAATGGGAGAAAATAAAGATGAAATAGGGAAAATTAACACGACATTAGATAAATGAGAAGATAGATCCTACTCACTTCATGAGCTGCTCAAGTTGCATAAGTATAGTACCTGTGATTGAAATTTCTTCTTCTTTAAGTCACTGAGAACCAAATGAAGAAGGGAGATGCTTTCCTCTGTTCTTCCCATTAAAAGAAGGCCACTACTCTCCCTATCAAGATGATGCACCTGCATAAAAGCAGTGATATATCATCACAAGACCTCAATAAACAAGAGTTAAAATAAATTAGCAGGTGTGGCCACAAAACTCAGCAATCATGATACAATGAAAAAAAAAAAAACATCCTTAATTCCATTACAGGGTTTTCCTGAGTGAATTATTTCAAGCTCTAGAAAATAGAAATTGTCAAACTTCCAATGAATTCTTGGATAAGCTCTCTCACATGCATGCATAACAAACTTAGACACCCTACCTCAAAATGAAGGGTTCCTATAAGAGGTTGAGATCTAGTTAGACTAGAATCAATAGCTGATTTAGGTTACCACAGAGATCTCAAAGGGAACAAATTAACTAATGTCATTTTGGAAATGAGACATTTTTCCAAAATCGTTTTTTGGGTTTCCAAATAGATCCTAAGTAAAGAAGAGGAATAATAAAAGGTTTAGGTCCCTTGAGAGATATTCCAGCAATACTGAAATTATGGAGCATCCCTTACCAGTCTAGGACCCTCATCATAATTGTAAGATAGTGCTGCAGCTGCCAAAGCATCCATGCTATTATGAACTGGAAGGTTTCCCTGATAACACACAAATAAGTTATGCAAAATGACAAAAGAATCACTTGAATGACTTAGAAAAGCCTTCAAAAAACTTTTAAAATGCTAACCTTTACTGGAAGTTTAGGGGGCTTATTTAGCACAATTAAGGCAGAGTCCTGGAATTTTGACAACCAATCATTTATTATGGAAAAAGTGCACGTGAATTGTTTTGCATGATTAAGAAACACAATAACAACAGAGGAATTGCAGTGCACTATTTCTAGCTAATGGGAAGTGCTAGAAACCAAAATTTAACTATCAATAGACCAATCTGATGGACCAAGCATTAAGTTGTGTAAAATACCTTGTAAAATACAAGCCTTTGCAAGTAGGCTATTTCGTCAGCATTGGGATACATTGTTCCACTTGGTATAATATCAAAACGCTTGGAAATTTTGGATTCTGCAACAGATACAGGTACATAAACTCTTGCACCCATCTCCATGACCTCATGATGCTTAATCTGTAAAATAACTGCCAAGTTGTAAAATAAGTGAACTGATCAGAAACAAATGAAGTGTATCTAGAGATTTCTGTATCTGTGTGTCCAAGATGACACTTATAACTGCTAGCTTGTACACCATCCTCAACAAGTATCACTACCTTTCTCATGGAAATTTTAGGCCTTTCAACACTAGATGAATCATGGCATTGCATCTGCACCTGTGAGACCAAAGAGTCAGAATGAAGAAAACTATGGGTCTCTAATTGTAAATATTGATGACATGGCAACGACAGCAAGATCCAGTACGTAGTTTAGGTTGTCAGCATGATAAGAAGCAGGAAAATTCATGGAATTACTTCTATTCTAGTTTACTTTCCTAGGTCAATAAAATTGAAAGCTTCACCCCTAAGGTTGCGGATTGTGACCAGAGTAGTGAATACCAAGGTAGGAGTATATCTATTTCCAAACCACTTGTCTATGTTGCAATGTGTTGAATATTAGGAAAGTTGTCCTAGTTTCTTATTCTTATTAGTAGTTTCCTATTCCTATTAGGACTAATTTATTATCTAGTTTAGTATATAGAGGTCCATAGAAGTATAGAACGGACATTAAGAGAGACAATCTATTGTAATCTTTCATTATAATATATTCTTTCTATTCTCTGTCTTTGGTTATCACATATCTTGCTTCCGTCTAACTGGCGGGTGGTGGATATTCTCCACCCACCAGGTCTCTCAAACCCTCAATCTTAACATGAAAATTTTTTGTTCCTTTAAGATATAATCCTTACATCTCTGTTCTTGCATCCTAAATCCTAGACAGCCAAAAACCCAGGTTTTGAATTAGAATATTTGCCTTAAAACAAGGAAAAGAATACATTTACGATACTCACCAGACCCTTATTGAAATGAGATTGAATAACAGGACCGGGTATTTCGTCAAAGTAATACTTTAGCCAGCTAATAGCAGTAATGCGATGAGACAATCGGCCCGGAACAGTAGTGGATTTCTTTCCAGGCAAACAGTGGCCGGGAAATGGGGGTAAAGACATGAGCTGGGGCGGCTTTGACCCTTCCCTGGGGCAGCCCAAATGGGCAATATTGTTTGAAACTCGGATCACCGAGTCATCATTAAGAGAAGTGTCACATCTTTGCGAGGAGTACTGCCTGACCACGAAGAACAATCGACGGCTTAGACCTCTGTTCCACATTCCCAATACATGCTAGATGAATTTCCTGGAGATTGAATAGCTGCACATGAGTTTCTCAACTTAACCTTTTATTCTTTTTTTTTTTGTTGGGAGAAAAAAATAATAACAAAGTTAGTGCTCATCACAACTCTTCTACTAGGGATGGTCACAGGTCGGGAAGTATGCGGGGCATATTCCCCGCCCCAACCCCATCCCCACATTTGGGGATATATTTTCCCCAACTCGCACCCGTGGGGAATTAAGCAAGGGCAACAACAATTCCTTGTATATGAGCAATGTGCTCTTTAGTTCTATACACTTCACCTGACATAACCTTCCCGCACAATAGACACTTCACTTAATCCAAATTTTTGGCATCAACAAACACACCATATTCCAAATTACTTGATGTAGCCATTATAAATTATAAATTTGAAATTTCACACTCCCAATCTACCACAATCAATGCAAAAATATAATTCAATGCACATTTACAATCAACAATCCAGAGATCCACACTGCCAAAAAAAAAATAAATAAATAAATATTTAAAAATTGCATACACACTGCCTCAAGATTGCCAAATCACACCAAAAATTTATTTTATGATTCAAAGCATACCACACATACCATTAACAATCATTGAATCAAAAATTGCATTTATTTAGCAAAGAAAAATTTTTATTCAATTTTTGGGCATTTAGCACTTGGAAGTGGCAGTGTGCAGTGAGGCAGTGAGATTGTTAGTTGAGTACCTGGCTGGAGGAATACGTAAGAGGAGCAGGCTACGACGTGCAGGTGAGGTCGGCGACGACAACGAAGCGACTCACCGACTGCGACAGTGCGACGATGACCGGACGGCTGTAGTGACGGCGACGACTGGACGGCTAGAAACTTTGGACGACGGGCAACGGCGACGCTAACGTCTGTGGACTGTGTCGTGTGGCTGGAGGTTTGCGACTTTGTGTTTGAGTACTTGGGCAGATTTTATTTGAACTTGTGTACAGTGGCGGACCCAGGATTTTTCTTCAGTGGGGCCAAAGAAGCAAAGGGAAAATAAATTCAAAAATATTCAAATACAAGGTTAAAATACAAATAAGATAGTTAAAATACAAAATACATTATAAATTACAATACAAGGTTTATGATAAACTGCGGAATGATATTCCTCTACGCTCTTTCATCTTTTGAAATCGTTGCAGAACTGCTTCATTCGAAATTTGATAAAAATATCTTTTTCAACATACGGCACTAAGCAATCATTTAATAAATCATCGCTCATCCGATTGCGTAAACATGTCTTGATTAAGCATATATCTACAGAATTGGGGCTGCTTAATGCTTATTGCTTAATCAGATTAAGCATATATTTACAGAATCATTAAGCATTAATTTACAGAAATAACATAATCATTAAGCATATTGCTTAATAATTAATATATGCTTAAATCAGTCATCCATCTTAACTAACCATACTGCTTGGTTGGTTTTGTTTTTCAATCCCTAACCTCTGAATGGCAAAACCCAAATTGGCAACACAGTGTCACTAAATCACTTGGGAATAGTTCGAAGTGCCAAAAACAAAAACAAAATGCCCAAAATTATTTAGATGAGAAGCCCCATCAAATGGATTGGTTCAAAGTCTTAAATTAAGCAATAAGCATATTACATATATTTACATAATTACAGAATCATTATAACATTATTGCTTAATCATTAACCGATTAATTTAGGGCAAACATATATTAAACCAAATTAGAATTTAGGGCAAATTATGATTTAACAAATTAAACATGTACAGATTAGGAATTTAGGATTTAACAAATTTAACAAATTAGGATGTCAATTAGGATTTAGCAATTCAAAAACCATTTCAATAATTAGGGCAAATTAGGATTTAGGGCAAAATCAAATTAGGGCAAAATTAAGTGAACATGGGCAGTGAGCAGATGAGAATTAAGCAAACAAATTGAAGCATTAAACATTTGAACAAAGGGTATTAACTGAGAAGGGATCGGAGTTGAACCTGGCAGTTGCGACTTGTGAGTTGCGAGGCAGCGGAGTCGTCGGGTGGTGGCGCTAGTGGTGGCGTCGGAACTCAGGGAACTCACGGAGGCTGAGAGCAGACGGAACTCACGGAAGAGAAGAGGAGAGACGGTCAGACGGAACTCGGAAGACTGGAAGAGAAGAGGAGACTTGCGGTGGCGTCGGGCTTCAGGCTTCAGCTCTTCTCGCATCGCAGCAGGCAATGAAACAAATGAAATTAAAAAAATAAAAAATAAAAATTATATATATATATATATATAACAGCCCCAAAACGACGTCGTTTTGGGGCTGAATAAATTATATTTATAATGTATTTTGTATTTTAACTATCTTATTTGTATTTTAACCTTGTATCTGAATATTTTTGAATTTATTTTTCCTTTGCTTCTTTGCCCCCACTGAAAAAAAATCCTCGGTCCGCCACTGCTCTAAATATAATCCCGGACAGGTCCGGATTTTGGGCTGTGCAAGCTGGGCTACCGCACAAGGCCCCAAATTTTAGAGGGACCTCAAAATTTAGAAGCTCAATATTTTATTTTTACCTAGTTAGTTTAAAAATAAAAATAAAAAGTTTTTAATTAAATTTAAAAGGCTTTATAAAGAAATGGTAGAACATGTATTTATTGTATTTTAACTTTGAGGTCTAAGGTTCAAAACTTGTGCACACTATTATTATTATTCCATAATATGTCTATTTTTACTTGTGCGTTGCCCGGAAAAGATTTGTTATAATCTTAAAATTATAACAACGAATATTATATAGTGCAATTGATGAGATGGGTTGTATCGATTATGTTTTTTTTTTTTATCCTTGTTTGATTCTGCATCATTCGCCGCGATTCTGCATCATCGCTGGCGGCTGAGCCGTCATCGACGATCTCCAGAAGAACCTGCAACTCTCGTCGGAGCACATGGAGGCCTCCAGGATGACGTTGCACCGTTTCGGAAACACATCGCCTTCTTCGCTCTGGTACGAATTCAACTACATTGAATCCAAAGGGAGGATGAAGAAAGGCGACCGGATTTGGTAGATTGCTTTCGTCAGTGTATTCAAATGTAACAGTGCGGTCTGAAAATGCAACCGGAACTTTAAAAAACCGACGATGGACCATGAAATTACATATATATCCTCAAAAATCACGGTAAAAAAACGGTCAAATAGATGGAGGATCAAATCGTGTTAAAATTACAAAGTTAAGGACTTAATTAGTTGAAATTGAAAGTCAAGGACCAATTTGTGAATTTTATCTATAGTCGAGGGACCATTTTGAGTATTTACTCTTAATTATATTCAACAACTATAAACAACAGGGCCGTCCTTGGCCATGTTTGGCCAGGGCAAGCGCACAGGGCCCCCAAATTTTGGGGGCCCCAAATATTGCATACGTAGTATATATGTGCATTGTGTCCCCAAATTTTGGGGGCACTTTTATTATATAAAAAATATTATTTTATATTTATATTTTATATATTAGTGTAGGTGTAACTTATGTATAAAGAAATCAAGACGGTGTAAAATTCTAAAAAATTTATATTCCTAATTTTTAAGGACTTGATTTGCGTATAGAGTTATAGTCCTATAACGTATAGGAATTGAGGCGGACCTATTTGATTATTGTAAAAATTATTATATATAAAGAGTAAAAAGTTACTCTTATTCTTATTATAATGCATACACGGAAGATTTGTATTCACAACACAAGAATTTGATCTTAGTAATCATTAATTTGAAGTGCGTTGTTTGTGCATTTTGCATCCTCAATTTTTTTATTCTTCACGATAAAAGGATGAAAGTATGTAAATAATTAAATATTTTTATTCATTAATTTTATTCAAAATTTTAAAATTATTAATTCAATAACTAACCCTAGCTAGGAATTTTTTTGATTGGTGAATAACAATCTAATTTCTTGTATTTTGATACTACAATTGCAATATCCATTAGTCTTGACTATTTCCATTACTGTTGTTTATGCATAAAGAAGTTTTTTAAAGTTGAAGTTGTTGTTCATCAAGTATATTGTAAGAAAGACTCAATAGATTGGTGAATAATTTTACATCTAAATATGGTCGAAGAATACGAAGAATGTCACTTTTCAAGTAAAATTTTGAATAATAAATTTTTTATAGACTATTATATATTTTGGTACAATACATACAATATATCTTTTATATATTTACAATTATACAAAAAGAGGGCTAAGGTTAATTTTCGCACAGGACCCCAATTTTCTTAGGAACGGCCCTGATAAACAATAATCAACTACTCCTTTGGATTATTAATTAATTAATTAATTAATGCTTAACTATGAGTAACTTTGTTGATTATTGTTTACCGTTGTGGAAAAGTATCCGGAAGCATTGAGATTAGATAGATCACATACTATATATAGCTCCATGCATGCATTAATATAATGGTCAAAATTGTAATCTTTCCTTACCTAATGCTTCATTTAAACTAATATAAATTGAGATATCCAATTGGGGACTAGAGCTTAATCCTTACGACTCATATTTTACATTTCAAGGAGGGTGGTGTTGATTCCCAACCTAATCACCTCCATAATCAGTAAAAAGTGAGTGAATGCTGGAAGAAAATGGGGGCAGGGGCCACCATGTGTGACATTGGCCGGTGATGGGGTAAGGACCCTGGCCCAAGAGATAGGGGCCCAAAGAAAATAGAAGTGGGCTAGCATCGAGAGGAGCCCAAAGAGCAGTCAGGCCGAGTCCAGGAGTCGGCCGAGGCCCAAGCCCAGGAAAGAACCCGGCTCGAGGAGCCGTTGAGGGCATTAAAAGGGTTCCTTTAAAAGAGAGCCGTTGAAGCATTGAAGACAGGACCCGGTCGAGCTGTTACAAGCCTAGGAGAGCCGTTGGTCGACCGAGTAATAGCGTCCAACGGCTCCATATCTTGATTAGCCTTGAAGTCGGCCATTAAGGGCCTTCAAGTCGGCAGAGGAGGAGCCACTATATAAAGGCTCCTCCATTCTTGTAAAAGGGGAACATTTTTCGGACACCCGGAAGAGGGGAGAATAACAAAGAATTTCCGAGCACTAACATTATCTTTGAGTTAGACAGATATATTATTGAGAGGTGTATCCTCCGACCAAAGGTTGTGTTGGACCTCCTTGGGCCCGAAAACCCTAAAACCATCACTGACGCCGTCCGTGGGGATTGAAACAAAGAGTCACGTGTCCTCTTGAATGAGGCGAGCCCGAGGAACAACAGTCGAATCAGGAAAACTCCAGACATGGCAGGAAGCGAGGAACAGTCGAGCCGTCACAACAACGGACGGGAGGCCGACCTGAGAAGCCAGCTGAATAGGAGAAATGCTCGGAGCCAAGAAAACGAGACGACACCGCCGCCGACGCCGCAGATAAACCCGCAATTACCTCAGGTGCTGCTCACCCCGGAGCAGTTACGCGCAATCGGGCGCGCCTGCGCCGAAGCAAGCCTAGGAGTGAGAGAACAATCCATCACTCGCCAGCCGCAACGCGAGTTGCAACCGCCTCAGAGGCCCGACAACTGGCAATTGAGTCGACGGGCTGAAAGCCAACCGGTACAATCCATTCACTCCCGGCTAGGTCCCAGCGTTGGGCGTCGGTCGGCAAGGGAACGATTAGGCCGGAAGGAGCCCAGTCGTGCCCCGTTAGCCGCCCGCGACCGACAAGCTGCGCGAGAGAAGAGCCGAACCAAAAGAGCCAGGACTGAGACTCGTCGCGTGGAGCAACCTCCCCGCAACCCCGTCCAACCGGCTGAGTCTGAAGTCGGCGAAAGCACGGAATCCACGAGAAATCGCACCCGGGAGAGGGTCGAAGTGGCTAACCTAGTACAGGAGGTGCGAAATCTGAAAGAACGGATGGAGGGAAAAACCAAATCCCCAGGACGTACGTTGCTGACCGCCTTACCCTTCTCAGACGAGGTTATGGCTTTTAAGATACCGAGTGACTTCAAGTTCCCAGAACAAGCCACGTTCGATGGAACCGGCGATCCCCGTGAGCATTTGCTGAGCTATCAGGCCAAGATGCAGGTTTTGGGGGTACGAGACCCGGTCATGTGTCGTGCTTTCCTACCCACGTTGAAGGGGTCAGCACAAAGGTGGCTGGTGGCGCAGCCCTCAGGGTCGATTCACAACTTTGAAGAGCTGGCAGACCGCTTCATGAGCCATTACGCCGCTAATATTAAGCCACAAAAGGACCTAACTCACTTGGGTGACATCCGTCAAGACGAAGGCGAATCTTTGAAAACCTATCTGGCCCGCTGGCAGAAAGAAATCCAGTCCATAGAAGAGGTCGAGGACCAGACGGCGCTCACCTTCTTCATCGAGTCGCTGCGGTCCGGCCAGCTGTGCCGAGACCTGAGGGACAATCGGCCGGCCACCTACGCAGAAGCCATTCATATGGCCAACAAGAGGGCCAATACGGAGCAGGCTATGAAGTACAAGCGACAACGCGAAGTCGGCGGATCTGCCAGCGGAAAGAGGACGCGAGCGGAAGCCAAAGAAAGGCGCCCGGACGTGGCTCGGCGACCCGAAGTTAGACGGCCGTACGACCGACCAGTGGTCCACGCCTATCGGCCGATCCCCGAGCGTCCGGTCCACGAGGTACAAGCGGTTGCCCCGCCTCCGCCTCCGCCGACCGACGATCGCGCGACAAACGAAGAGATAGGTAAGAACGCTAAGTATTGTCGTTATCATAAATCTTATACCCACAGTACGGAGGAGTGCTTCTACCTGAAGAAGATCATGGAGGGCATCATCCAGCAAGGAACCCCGCCTCCTAACCAGTGGAGGCGGAGGCCGGGCAGTCGAAGGGATGAGGAACCCGTCGCCGTTGCCGAGAGCAGTCGAGGCAAACAGCCGGTTCCCGAAGAGGAGGAGGCTCAGTGGCGCCAAAAACCGGTTATCAACATGATAGTCGGCGGGCCGGAAGGTGGTGATTCAGCGAACACCAGAAAAGCTTGGGCTCGGCAGTTGTACGTCGGGACAGTGTACGGGCGCGAGGAGAACTCCAAAAAGGTGTGTCGAGAGCCCATCGTGTTCACCGACAGAAACTTACCAGCCGGAGAAATACCGCATCGAGATGCGTTGGTTATAGCCATGGACGTCAACGGCATCGTCGTTCAGCGGATCCTGGTGGACACCGGGAGCAGCGTCAACGTGCTATATCTAGAAACCTTCACCAAAATGGGGCTGACTCGAGAACAGCTGAACCCCGTCAAAACCCCCTCGCCGGCTTCACAGGGGACTCGGTGGAGGCGGAAGGGTCGATCACACTCCCAGTGGAGATTGGCACGTACCCGGACGTACAGAAACTCAGCATGAAATTTATTGTGGTAGACCTGGCCTGCTCGCATAACGCGATCCTTGGCCGACCGGGTCTTGAGGATTTAGGAGCCTTGATCTCAATTGGGCATCTCTGCCTGAAATTCCGCACACCGAATGGAGTAGGCACGGTACGCTGTGACCGAAAGGCCGCCCGCGACTGCTATCTGCAGGCATGCAGAGGGATGGGCAAACGCGAGATGCAGATCCATGAGATCACTGAGAGGCCCCCGAAGAAGACGATACTACCTCGCCCAGAGCCTGCTGTCGAGTTGGAGGAAGTCGAGATCGACTCTGCATGGCCGGACCGACGGGTCCGAATTGGAGTCGGCCTCTCCGAGATATTGAAAAAAAAAATTGTAAAGGTGCTCAGGGAGCACCGGACGATTTTCGCCTGGGGCCCAGAGGACATGCCTGGCGTCGACCGATCAATCATATCGCACAAACTCGCCGTAGATCCGGAGCACCGACCGGTCGTACAGAAGAAACGATACCTAGCCAACGACCGAAGGGAATTTGTGAAGAAGGAAGTTGGCACGCTACTAGCGGCCGGGCACGTCCGCGAGGTTAAGTACCCGGAATGGTTGGCCAATGTGGTCCTCATACCCAAGCCCCCGGCGTGGCGAATGTGCGTGGACTATACCGACCTTAATAAGGCTTGTCCGAAAGACCCGTTTCCCCTACCTCGGATCGACCAGTTAGTCGACGAAACGGCCGGGTCGGCGCTACTAAGTTTCATGGACGCCTTCAGAGGGTACCATCAAATATTTATGCACCCGGCGGATGAGGAGAAGACCGCCTTCTTGACGCCGGACGGAGTTTACTGTTATCGAGTCATGCCCTTCGGGCTTAAAAATGCCGGGGCTACGTACACCCGAATGGTCGCCCGGTTGTTCCAACATCTGCTTGGGAAATCGATGGCTGCGTACGTCGACGATATGCTCGTCAAGGGCCGGGAGGAGGATAAGCATGCGAAGGACTTGGCCGACTGCTTCAAGGTAATGATGAAATACAACCTTCGGCTAAACCCCAAAAAGTGCGCGTTCGCCGTCCAAGGTGGCAAATTCTTGGGCTACATGGTCACCAAACGAGGCATCGAGCCTAATCCGGAAAAAGTACAGGCCATCATCGACATGCAGCCTCCTACAACCGTCAGGGACCTACAACGGCTGACTGGCTGATTGGCCGCCCTTAGCCGCTTCTTGAGCAAAGAGGCGGATAAGACCGTACCTTTCTTCGAAGCCATGAAGAAGAAGGAGGGATTCGCTTGGACTGCCGAATGCCAACAATCGTTTGAGGAGTTGAAACAGTACCTCTCAACGCCCCCAGTGTTGTCTACCCCCCAGGTGGGCGAGCCTTTATTCTTGTATCTCGCCGCCTCAGCCAAAAGCAGTGAGTTCGGTGTTGGTCCGAGAGGAGGACCGAGTCCAGCACCCGGTTTATTACGTAAGTCGCTCGCTGAAGGCCGCTGAGACGCGGTACACCGTTTTAGAAAAGATTGTGTATGCATTGGTAGTCACCGTGCGCAAGCTGGCACCCTATTTCCAAGCCCATACCGTTCGAGTTTTGACAGACCAGCCGCTCGGAAGCGTGCTAAGAAACCCCTTGTCCTCCGGCCGACTTGTAAAGTGGGCCGTAGAGTTGACTCAGTACGGGATTGAGTACCAACCCCGGCCTTCCATTAAGGGTCAAGCCTTGGCCGACTTCCTGGTCGAATGCACCGCAAGTGAGGAGGAAAAAGAACACGCCTCGGAGAGCTGCCCAGGCGAGTGGTGGGAAATGCACACGGACGGAGCATCGAGTCGACAGCACTGTGGAGGCGGTGTCATGCTCATCACTCCGGAAGGATTCCGGCTATATTACGTTCTGAGATACCGGTTCTCGACATCAAAAAATCAGGCCGAGTACGAAGCGGTATTAAACGGCATCCGACTCGCCAAGGCCCTAGGAGTCGAGCGGCTGCGAATCAAGACTGACTCCAGACTGGTAGTCGGACAGATCTCGGGTGCGTGTGAAACTAAGAATGCGAGGATGGTACTATACAAAGAGCGTGCGGTCGAAATATTAAAAGGGTTCGGGGCTTACGAGATAGAGTACATACCTCGAGCGGACAACATGGAAACTGACTTATTGTCCAAAATTGCCCTGGAAGGGGTACCGGACCACCTGATAAAAATTTGCCAGAAGGAGGAGCTACATCGGCCGAGTGTTGGAGAGACACCACCGGAAGTCCAGCAAGTAGATATCGAGGAATGGGATCGAGGAAAAAATCCCGAAATGTTCTGGATAGAGGATATCCGGCGATTCGTAGAAAAAGGCGAGTTGCCGGAGGACCCGGGAGTCGCCGCGAGAGTTCGACGAAAAGCCCCTTCCTTCCGGATCGTCGACGGACAGCTATACAAACGGTCGTTCGGAGGACCCTTACTAAAGTGCCTGCTTAGACCTGAGGCCGAGAAAATAATGGACGAGGCTCATAGAGGCATTTGTGCCGCGCACCAGGGCGCCCACACGCTCGCCCGGAAGCTAGTCGTCCAGGGGTATTATTGGCCGACCATGATGCGAGACTACGTCGAACGGGTGTCCAGGTGCGGCGTCTGTCAAGCATTCGCCAGGAAGAACACCCGACCGGCCACCTTTTATACACCGGTCACCACTGCTATCCCCTTCGCCAAGTGGGGAATAGACTTGTTGGGGCCATTGCCCGTCGCCCCGGGAGGTCTGAAGTTTTGCGTCGTGGCTATCGACTATTTCACCAAATGGGTCGAGGCGGAACCATTGGCTACCATCACTGAGTACCAATGTCGACGTTTTCTGTGGAAAAGGGTGATATGTCGCTTCGGCCTGCCCGAGCACATCGTCAGCGACAGTTTGACTGCCAGGCCTTCGCCGACTTCTGCCGCCGACACGATATCAAGCATACCAAGGTATCGGTGGCGTACCCACAAGCCAATGGGCAGGTCGAGAATGTGAATCGAACGTTGGTCGATGGGATCCGGAAGAAGCTTGAAGACATCCGAGGAAGCTGGGCGGACGAGCTTGACCGAGTCCTATGGGCTTATCGCACTACCCAGCGGCGAGCGACGGGGGAGAGCCCGTTCTCGCTCGCGTACGGCTTCGAGGCCAAGGTTCCAGTCGAAGTAGTCGAGCCCACCCACCGGGTTCGCACCTACTCAGATGCAGCGAACGAAGAGAATCTGCGGATCGAGAAAAATTTCCTAGAAGAAAGGAGAGAAGCCGTGAGTGCACGGATGGTTGAGTACCAACAGGCGGTGAAAAGATATCGTGACCGGAGGACTCGCCCGCGAACCTTCCAGGTTGGCGACCTCGTGTTACGCGATCGACAGGCCAGTCAGCCCACCGAAGGGGGCAAGTTTGCGGTTAAGTGGGAGGGGCCGTACCGTATTGCAGCGGTGGTCCAGGCCGGAACCTATAAGTTAGAGACTATGGAAGGCAAGCTCATAGATCGCATATGGAATGTCACCCATTGAAAAGGTTCTATCAGTAGAAAAGGATAGGCCGTGTACGTGCTCAAGGATTCCAAAAATCTAAATAAAGCACATGGGATACAGTTAATCGTCCCAGGGACTCGGCAAGAAAAGATAGGAAACAAGGGCACTGACCCTTAGACGTTTCCGAGAAAAAGCCTACAGGAGTCGCCTCGACTGAGGGACTCGGCGAGTATATATAGAAACAACGGGGCACTGACCCTAAACCGTTTCTGAGAAAAGAAAAAGCCTAATGGGTCACCTCGACCGAGGGACTCGGCGAGAAAGAGTTAGGAAACAAGGGCCCAGACCCTTAGTCATTTCCGTGAAAAAGCCAAAAGGAGTCGCCTCGACTGAGGGACTCGGCGAGTATATATAGAAACAACGGGGCACTGACCCTAAACCGTTTTTGAGAAAAGAAAAAGCCTAATGGGTCACCTCGACCGAGGGACTCGGCGAGAAAGAGTTAGGAAACAAGGGCCCAGACCCTTAGTCATTTCCGTGAAAAAGCCAAAAGGAGTCGCCTCGACTGAGGGACTCGGCGAGTATATATAGAAACAACGGGGCACTGACCCTAAACCGTTTCTGAGAAAAGAAAAAGCCTAATGGGTCACCTCGACCGAGGGACTCAGCGAGAAAGAGTTAGGAAACAAGGGCCCAGACCCTTAGTCATTTCCGTGAAAAAGCCAAAAGGAGTCGCCTCGACTGAGGGACTCGGCGAGTATATATAGAAACAACGGGGCACTAACCCTAAACCGTTTCTGAGATAGAAAAAGCCTAATGGGTCACCTCGACCGAGGGACTCGGCGAGAAAGAGTTAGGAAACAAGGGCCCAGACCCTTAGTCATTTCCTTGAAAAAGCCAAAAGGAGTCGCCTCGACTGAGGGACTCGGCGAGTATATATAGAAACAACGGGGCACTGACCCTAAACCGTTTCTGAGAAAAGAAAAAGCCTAATGGGTCACCTCGACCGAGGGACTCGGCGAGAAAGAGTTAGGAAACAAGGGCCCAGACCCTTAGTCATTTCCGTGAAAAAGCCAAAAGGAGTCGCCTCGACTGAGGGACTCGGCGAGTATATATAGAAACAACGGGGCACTGACCCTAAACCGTTTTTGAGAAAAGAAAAAGCCTAATGGGTCACCTCGACCGAGGGACTCGGCGAGAAAGAGTTAGGAAACAAGGGCCCAGACCCTTAGTCATTTCCATGAAAAAGCCAAAAGGAGTCGCCTCGACTGAGGGACTCGGCGAGTATATATAGAAACAACGGGGCACTGACCCTAAACCGTTTCTGAGATAGAAAAAGCCTAATGGGTCACCTCGACCGAGGGACTCGGCGAGAAAGAGTTAAGAAACAAGGGCCCCAACCCTTAGTCGTTTCCGTGAAAAGCCAAAAGGAGTCGCCTCGACTGAGGGACTCGGCGAGTATATATATAGAAACAACGGGGCACTGACCCTAAACCGTTTCTAAGAAAAGAAAAAGCCTAATGGGTCACCTCGACCGAGGGGCTCGGCGAGAAAGAGTTAGGAAACAAGGGCCCAGACCCTTAGTCATTTCCGTGAAAAAGCCAAAAGGAGTCGCCTTGACTGAGGGACTCGGCGAGTATATATAGAAACAACGGGGCACTGACCCTAAACTGTTTCTGAGATAGAAGAAGCCTAATGGGTCGCCTCGGTCGAGGGACTCGGCGAGAAAGAGTTAGGAGACAAGGGCCTGGACCCTTAGTCGTGCCTGCGGAAAAGCCTTAAAGAGTCGCCTCGACAGAAGGACTCGGTGAGCGGATAAGAGAGACTAGGTTAAAGGACAAAGCGTCGAGCTCGAGATAATACGAAAAGGAAGAGAAAAGGGGAATTTCATTAAAAAAAAAGGCCCGAAAAGGAGGCCAGCCTTAACAAAAGGGGGCTATCCCCAAACAGAACAGCCCTAGACTACGGGGGAGGGGGTGTCGACATCAATCCCTTCGACTTGGGCCCCTGCCGTTGGTCCAGTCAGGGGAACAGAAGAAGGGTCCTCGGCCTGAAGAGAGGACTCGGCGAGCTCAGGAGGTGTCGCTGAAGGAAGAGTTGCCGGATCAGAGGCTGCCGGAAGAGCTGCCGGATCCCCAGTCGCCGACTGTCCTTCAGTCGCCGGAAGAGCATCTATCACGGGCTTGAGGCCCCAGCTCTCGGGAGTGAAAGAGGAGTCGCGGACCAGCAAGGCATAATGGATCTCTGTCTGCGCCTCGCGAAAGCCGAGGCGATAGTCGCGCTCGCCCAAGTCCAGGAGGAACTCGTCACCATCCGGCGTCGACAGCCACTCCTTAGCAATCTCTTTTTGGCGAGCCTCTATCGCCGCCTTCACCTCCGCCTCGAAGGCGGCCGACTTCTTGTACTCCTCAACAGAGGTCGCAGCAATCGTCGCCACCTTGTCTCGCTCCTCCTCCCACTGACGAGTAACCCTCAGCATCTCAGAGTTGTGCACCTCCACCACCTTGAGGTGCTTCGCCTGCTCTTCCAAAAAGGCCTCCTCCGTCTGACACAGCTTGTTGGACATAGACCGCATGTCGGTCAAATAGTTCTACAGCCGCTTACTCATCTCCATCTGGAAGGTGAGGTTCTGCGAAACAGACACGAGTCAGGTAATGAAAGGAAAGGACGAAGGGAAGGTCAAGTGGGAAACACTTACGCGGTACGATTAGCGCAGTGAGGCCTCGAGGATGTACCCGTCCCCCAGAGCATGAGTCGCCTCCACGTCCTTAGGTAGAAGGACGTTAGCACACCACTTACGGACAGAGGAGGTGCCCATCCAGATCTGGGCATCCTCCTCTACCTCATGGCACAGCCGGATCCTTTTGGGAGCCGACTCGTCAGTTTGAACGGCCGGGCGCTTAGAGCCGGAGCTCTCTGTCTGAGGAGGAGGTGGCTGTCGAGTGGGCGACACCACTGGCGACGGAGTCAGATCTACCACGTTTTGAGGAGGAGGAGGAGTTGGCCTGGGAGCCGGAGACGGTAGAGAGGAAGAGGCAGCAGCAGTACCGGAAGAGCGTTGGATCAGCCGACGCCTCATCTTTTCGGCTCTGTCTGCCATCTCGGGAGTCGGTTCAGCCGCCTCGTCGGAGCTGGAGGAGTCGGAGTCGTATGGACCTGTAAAAAGGAAAGAGAAAGCATGAGGTGTTCCGAGTCGGAATATGGCGAGATAGGAAAAGAATGAGGGGTAACGAAGACTACCTACGGTGGCCGCACCCTCCGGCAGCAAGCCACGCTTAGCCATGGCCCGGACTCGGGACCAGTACTTGACGGAGTACGGCCCGAAGCCCTTCAAGAACTCGCCGCCCAAGACCGCATCGTCGGAAGGAACGACACGTCGAGGACAAGGCTTGAACAGAGCGGCCGGCCACAGGGTCGGAAAAGTAAAAGAAGAAAGGGCAGGGCGGACGAAGAAATAAAGGAGCTTCCAATCCTTGATGGAATCGGACAGCCCCTCGAAAAGCTGTCGCCCCGGGCGAGCGGCGACTTGAACAAAGCCCGGCGAGTGCGAGCCAACCTTGTTTACGGTAAAAAGATACCGGAACAGGTCGAGGTCCGGCTCGCACAACCACCAGTGGCAGAGATTGATGAAACAAGTAAGGAGTCGGTGAGAATTGGGCACTAATTGGCCCGGAACCAAGTTATAATGGCGGTAAAAAAGAGAGAGAAAAGGACATGGAGGAACTCGGAAGCCAAAGGCAACCGAGTGTAGGTGAATACCGACACAACCCTCGGGTGGGTCGTAAATTTGCCGGCCCTCCGGGGCAAGGACTACGGCCGAGGGCCCAAGAAGATACTGGGCCATCTCCAGATCCGCCGCAGTAGCGACGGACGGCGGCCCGGAGGGGCGGACGATTGGATCGAACTTGCCCCGCGGCCGTATAACGCCGCCTGGCAGAGCCGCCACCGTCGTCAGAGGAGCGGGGCTCAGCGGAGTAACCGCCCCCGAAGAAGAGGGGGTCGGAGGAAGAGAAGATGTCGATGGAACGTCCGAGGGAAGTTCCATACGACGGAGGGAAGACATCAATGGAACGTCCGCCGGAAGTTCCATACGACGAGGAGGAGAAGAGGAAGACGAAGAAGGAGAAGAAGAAGAGGGAGAGGTCGCCTCGGTGTTGTCAACCGAGTAACGACGAGAAGAAGAAGAATGTGAGGAAGAAGACATTACCTAGGTCAGGAAGGAAATTGGAGGAGGAACAGAGTGGCCGGAGAAGCTCGAAGTTGAAACTGAAAGGGAAGACTGGAGAAGAGAGTGGAAAAAGAGACGAAGTGGTTATTTGAAGGGTAGGAATTTCAAAGGGCGGCCACGTGCCACCTTCTCGTTGGAGGGGCTGGAGGTGATGAGACGTGAAGGGACGCCGTATTTAATGCCTCAAAAGGCGGGGCGACGGTTCAGGTCTAGGGTTAGCCCACAGACGGCGCGTCTGCCCTAGGCTAGGGTCGAACGTCACGTGACCCGGCCTGCTAAGCCGGAAGCCCGTA